TTATTACCACTACCATCATCATCATCGCCCACCGTCTGCACCCACTACCACAATCCACCACCACTTATCGTTTCCCACCATCGTCATCAGCCACTATCACACACACCCACCATACCTACCACTATCTGTCATTGTCCATCACTGTCGCTACCCAGTGTAACTATCTCCCACCATCATCTGTCACCACCTATCACATCGTCCCCCAAAAGCACTTGTCGTCACCCATCACTACCATCGTCACCCGCCCACCACCATCACCGTCGTCGCTCCACCACCACGATTGTCAACTACAATCATCGTCAATCATCATTATTACTACCGTCGTCACTCATGACTGCCACTACTATCACTGTTTTCTACTACTACCACTATCACCGTTCACCCTTACTACAATTGACACTTAAATTTTTGTATCTTTCCTTTGTGTTTGTGATTTGATTTTACGTGTGAATACAAATATGTTTATTATTGACTATTTTTTTTATTATTCCGTGCCTCCAAGTAAAGACAATAACTAATACATAAATATGAGAAGTTATAAAATGCATTTCGCTATTTGTCTAAATTGAGACTAATATTATTGCTTGCTTAAAATTTAAATTGTATCTGCCCCGTTCTTATGTGTATGATCATGCTCTATATAAAACTTTATTTTGAACCCACCAAGATAGAATAGATTAAAAGATCTCGATCATTAAACACGTGAACGGATACAATGGTTAATCCCAATGTTTATGTTTCGCAAACACCTATGAATGTCTCAAGTTTCCTTGGTAGTCACGGAATTAAAAAACACGAGGTTGAATACTTCTCGGTTATGCCAATAACGAGGTCAGCCTCGTGACGGATGACTTGTTCTGGTCGTGTTCACTTGGGCTCTATGGACCACGTAGAATAGTTGGTCCTACTAGCAATAAAGGTTGAATGAACCACAACCAGAATGACTAAGACAAATTGGATTGTGGTAGATCAAGTTCCATTTGTAGACCCACATACATTCTACAGTAAACAGCAATCCCGGGTCCCATCCTCTAAGCCATCTTGGTGAGGTCCAGCCCACTTGCATCATTGGGCATACAAACAACACACACTTGCATTATTGGGCCCCACATATAATTTTATAATATAATGTGTTGATCTAATTAATCCTTACTCTTGAATTACTAGCGAGTCCTAATTAATATTGAAAGTCATGTTAATCCAATGATAGTGATTAATTATGTCAATAAATTAAGTTAATAAGTTAGATCTTTTTTTAATAAATTTAATAGGCGTGCAAATACCCCTTAGGAAATGTAGAATGTGGAGTTTGGGTATCCACTTAAAGAATTATTGGGTGTGACGAGTTCATATCGGTTTTTAATGAATTCGTATTAATAATTATTTTACTCATACTTGATTTATTTATTAATTTGTATCTAATGAATCGTGCTATATTGGGTTCGCGTCATAAATGAATCATGTGTAACTGATATATGCATGAGTCGTATCGTATATTTCTTTTTGATTAATTTCACTCATACTCGATTTGTTCATTAATCGTGCCGTGTGTCGGGTTCAGTCGTTTATGAAATGGATGGTTTAAAGAAGACCCAAACACTGTAATTTCATATCATAATCGTGTCATGTGAACTATCGTATCATATTTTTACAACATTAGATGAGACCCAAAAATAATTTATTTAAAAAAAATTATAAAAATAAAAATTAATTACATTATATCAATTTCAATTTTCAAATACCACAAACTATCGTACATATGTTTTATTCCTCGTACTTCTCTCAATTTTCCCACTACTTTATCCATCTATGTCAACCTCACATTGCTACTTACGACTCCCAATTAATCTAAAGGCACTTGTGTCTGTTTTACCTCATTCGTAATTACCTGCCAACATGAAACATTCTCTCTCTCTCTCTCAATTACACTATATAATATATTTATATTTATTATATCATATTTAATACATAAGGTCCATTTAACAACAAAATAATATATATATAAAGACTAATTATCACTATTGTAAAAAAGTAGAGCTAATTGCCAATTTTGTAATTAAAATATATGAGATATACACTAACAATTCATTAAATTTATTCAATAAACGATATTTTAAATATTATCACTGAAATATTAGTATAATAAAATTACTAAACTAAATTTTAAGAGTTAAATGCAGTAAAACAAAAATTAAAAATCGATTGTCACATAATAAAGATTTCAATCAATACTTGAATAGAAATAAAGACGATTTCTTGAAGAAAAAATAAAAGTTAAATGAAGGTCATTTGCAAGAATTTTCACTTATAAAAATTCATTAATAATAAAATTAATTAAAGTAATTTGAAGAAAGCCTTAATACAATAAAAAAGACTAAACAATTACAATAAGAAAATTATATGGTGGACACAAATAAAAAATATATATAATTTTTAGAATATATAAAAATAAATATAGTATTTTTTAAAAAAAAATTAGATAACTTTAATTTTGCCCATGTAAAACTAATAAGTGGAGAATGCTGCCATTGCTAAGGGTCAAGTAGAAAAACCGAACTACCTTCCCTCTCCCAGTCACCTCCCTCGCTAATCCTCAAAAAATCCTTTTTTTTCGTTCGGTATAATAAAAAAATAAAAAGTTGAAAAATTGGAAGAATAAAAAGTTAGAAGAATGGAAAGTTAGAGACATAGATAAAACATAATATTTTGTAAGAAAAGAAAATAGGAAGAATAAAAAAGTGTATGAATTTTTCTTTCAACTCACCAAAATTAATCCCCCAAAATTAGAGGTCTGTTTGTTTGGCAAGATAATGTTAGAAAATGTAAAAAAGAGAAAATTTTACATGTATTTGTTCAGCATGAAATAGAAAATAATAAAAAAATAATTTTCTTCCACGTCTAGATTTTCTCACATCTAACTAACATTTTTTTCTTAGAAAAAATAAGAAAGTTGTGTTCAATAATCTAACTTCCCATTTTACACATTTTTTCTTAAAATATTAAATTAGTTACTAATTTTAAAAAACTTTGTACAAATTAAGATAACCATATAATTTAGTCTAGAAATCAGAGTTCGAGACGATTCTTATTCTTGAATTAGTGTAGGAGTCAATTGCTTTAAAATTTAAATAATAAATTTTTTTTTCTTCTTTAAACCAACATAAAATAATTAAGGATAATTGAAACAATTATAAAATTTTTATTGTAATTTTCCTTTCTTTCAAACAATGGAATGAAATTATTTTAAATTTTTTTTATAAGTTTTTATGCTAACCAAATGCATGCATGAAAATATATTTTCTTTCACTTTCTTTTCTTTTACTTCACTTTTTATCTCTTTTACTTTCTGTCATCTTTTTCTTGTTAACCAAACGGACCTTAGGAGGAAAGTTGATGAAAAATTAATTATATATGTTAAAATATATGTTATTTGTTTATATATTATATTTATTAATTACATATTATGTAAACATTAATTTTATATATAAATATAATGATAAAATATTTATTTATATTTTTAATAAAAAAATTTAAAAATAAAATAAATAAATACAAATATTTTTTTTCATCTTATCAAACACAAAAAAAGTCAATTTTTTGTACTTTCCATTCCTCTTACCAAATACAAAGGAAAGAAAGTTTCCTCCCTTGAAGGATGAAAAATATATTACTTTCACTTTTCATCATTCTATTTTTCTATTCCCCTACTAACCGGACCATAATGCATCTTCCACCATTGAAGTCCCTTGCTATCTAAATTCAACTACAATAGAATTCTCCTCTAGAATGGTAGTTTCTCTCCATTTCATTCTTTATGCTCTGTTTGGTAGGGAGGATGGAAAGTAGGAGGGATATACTTTCTATCTTTTAAGGATAGAAAATAGAAAGAATACAATTTCCTATATTTGTGTTTTGTTGGGTGGATGAAAAATAAAAATCACTATTTTTTTTTGTGCTGGCNTGAAGAAAAAAAAATATATATAAGAGATAAAAATTCAAATTTTTGGGCATTTTATTATTTAGATAGTTGCGGTCAAATTTTTATACCACCTATAATCTCAGAATATTTAGAGAAAGTAAGCAGTAATGTTAGACTGACCAAATTTTAGAATTAAATNATTTAGATAGTTGCGGTCAAATTTTTATACCACCTATAATCTCATAATATTTAGAGAAAGTAAGCAGTAATGTTAGACTGACCAAATTTTAGAATTAAATTTGGAGCTCAAATGACATGACAGTTGACTTGAGTTTCTTTGATTAGTGTTATGTTATACGGGCTCTAATAAAAATTTTAATTAATCAACTGTCATGTCATTTAATCACTTGATTTAATTTCAAAATTTAATGAATGTAGCATTAGTCAAGAGTAAGAGAGAGGGGACAGCAATAGTTCAAGTTATTTACTTTAAGACTAAGTGCTATGAATTGATTTGATTACGCATTACCTTTTTAATCGATTAACTCAAAATATTATAAGAATTTAGTATTTGGAGAAGAAATGTTTCCCAAAAGTCAAAGATCATAGAATATATGCCTCAAACAACCCATTTAACATTATTTTTTCCGAAAAAAAAATCATATGAAATTCATGACAGGTAATCAAAACGTAAGAATGTGACCTCACCAGTCACCACAAATCCACCACGTGTTCATTAAACTTGAAACTGGACTTTTCTTTTTCTTTTTCTTTTTTGGTTTTTGTCTTTTTAAAAAAAAAAAAAAATTATTTTCTGTCAAATAATTGGAAAGCTCAAGAAAGAACATGGCCCAGCATGCATAGTTAAAAGTAGTTCTAAAAGCCATCGCTTTGACCAGCCCAGGTACATTGGACACAGACATTGGTCACAATCAAAGGGTCTTCCCCACGTGGAAACAAATCTCAGCCTCAGGATTGTCCACGTGGTAATACGTGAACCCTCTATTTTTATTTTGTTTTTTACCAAGTTATATGCTTATAAGTGCCATTCCAGTTGAATTGAATTAACCATTAAAAGGTCATGGAAGAAGAACGTGGTAATGAAGGGAAGACGAAGATTGAAAAGGAGTTGGCGGGGGAGGTGAGGTATAGAGGCGTTAGGCGGCGGCCATGGGGGAAGTTCGCGGCGGAGATACGAGACTCGTCCAGACAAGGTGCGAGGGTGTGGCTGGGTACATTTAACACGGCGGAGGAGGCGGCGAGAGCTTATGACAGGGCTGCTTATACCATGAGGGGTCACTTGGCGGTTCTCAACTTTCCGGAGGAATATAATTTACCNGGTGTGGCTGGGTACATTTAACACGGCGGAGGAGGCGGCGAGAGCTTATGACAGGGCTGCTTATACCATGAGGGGTCACTTGGCGGTTCTCAACTTTCCGGAGGAATATAATTTACCAAGTGGAGGCGGCGGCGGAGGCGCCGCCTCTCATTTCTCTTCGGCTTCATCCTCTTCATCGTCAATGCATGGAGAGCGAAGTGGAGAAGGGAAGGAGGTGTTTGAATTCGAGTATTTGGATGATAAGCTGCTTNCTAGTGGAGGCGGCGGCGGAGGCGCCGCCTCTCATTTCTCTTCGGCTTCATCCTCTTCATCGTCAATGCATGGAGAGAGAAGTGGAGAAGGGAAGGAGGTGTTTGAATTCGAGTATTTGGATGATAAGCTGCTTGAGGAACTTCTTGACTCTGAAGAGGACAAGAACAAGAAAGAGTGAAGTATCTGATCTGATCAGTTGAGTATTAAATGTTTAGTACCCACATATGCTTGTCATCTCTCTCTCTCTCTCTTCCTCCCCTTCCCCTCCTCTTTGACGGTGTGTGGGTATGATTTTCTTAGAAATTTTATTGACGCTTACATTTTTCGGGTTATCTTTTTTTTTTTTTTAAAGTTTTTTTTGGATAACGGAAGGAGGAATGGGATGAAGTTAGAATTCGCAAATACATGCAGGCGGGACTGAGCCGTTACCATTCGACTAATTTACCTAGTTTTCGGGTTATCCTCGTCTTCCAGAAAATGTAAGCATTAATGAAAATTTAAAAGGACAATCACACATACGCACGCCGGGTATGCTTTTTAATGGCTTTTGGGTGAATTCCAAAGAGTCCCTAGATCTTATAAGTAAAGTTTATGATACTTGTTTGGATAATTGTTAGTGTAAAGAAAAAGTATGTTTAATTATTGATAAGCTTATCAATATATTTAATTTTTTGTTAGCAAGTAATCACTTTGATCGATCTTATGTTTTTTGAATTTATGATTGTAATGGAATGTTCGAACACATATGACCATTCATAAATCATGCGGAAACATCACACATTGATCAAACTCGTGTTTTTATACAAATCGATTACCACTAAATTTTTAGAAGCTTAATTTCCCATTTTGAACTAGTAAATGCCTTTTTCTTAACAAATGGTATACAGCTTCTTTCATATTTGTTTTTCAGCTATAACTGAGAGGAAACAACTTGATAAAACCTAATGGCCAATAGTTGTTGCAGAGAGGAGTTTGACTTTGTTGGCAGCCATTATTTCAATTTGAAGGTCTCTGCATTCTACAGTTTTGTCTTGAATTACTTGACACGGTAGTCAAGCTGTCCTAATGTGTGCCTTGTCTGTTTCTTTGCATTGTACAGTTTTGTCTTGAATTACTTGACACGGCTGTCAAGCTGTCCTAATGTATGCTTTATCTGTTTGTCTTGAATGAAGCTATCGAACACCACCCAAATTTAATGGATGAGCTAGTTATTTAAGCAGCTTGAATATGACACTGTTTCATTAATTAGAATTTCAATGAAATTAATTAAACTCCTAATAGTAACAATGCATTATCACTTTTGGTGGAAATCTTTGTTTTGCAAAGTATTGTATATAAGTTTATAACTGAACTATATCTCTGGTTATTTCCTTCTTTCTTTCTTTCTTTATTTTTTTCCTGAAAAAAGTTATAATTACTTGAAAGTTGAAATCATTATACTTTGGTAGGATGGAAAATAGAAAGACGAAAATTTAAAAAAATAGATAAAACATTATGTTTTGTAAATAATGATGAATAAATGTATGAACTAGCTTTCCTTTCAACTCACCAAAATCAACCCCTTTAAAATTGGAAGAAAAAGTGGATGAAAAATTAATAATGTGTATTAAAATGTATGCTACTTACCTATATATCCTTTAATATATGCTTATTTCATTTTTATTTATTACATATTGTATATACATTAAATTTATATATATAATGAAAAAATATGTATTTTTATTTTTTCCATTATTCCACTTTTTCATCCTACCAAAAACAAATAAATCAATCAATCCTACATTTCAACACACCATTAGCCTTCTTTATAACAATGCTATTCTAAATGGAAATTACAAATCTGACTAGATGAAATTTTGCACCTAAATTTAATTTAATTTTCAATCTTAAGGGTTATCTTTAATTCCTATATGTTGAAGTTTTATATTCTATCATTACATGAATGCATGCCTATGTCTTCCAAACAAAACATTTACTCTTCATGGAGTTAACAACTTCACCTCCTTCGACTCTTTTTCATATCTAAACTCAACGGTTCACTTTTTTCAAAAAAAAGTTTTCGGTATCCAATCCCTTCAAATGTATAAATACTATTACAAAAAGTGTTTACTTTACTCACAACAATCACTCTTTATGGGAAACAAATTTAACTAGGTTCACCTAATTCTGCATGCTTCCATTTGAATTTCAATAGTGACTTTGGCACTGTTGAAATCTCTTATTTAGCCTTTAACCATCTCTCACACGTCAAATAATCTTTCATCTGACAGACAATGCCATTCTATAAAGGTGCCACAACATTACCAATCTCAACTCTAATTTATTTTCTTTCCTTTGGAATATTAGTGGTCGTCATTTTTTCAATTGTATCTTTTGGGGATTCGATCACATTGAAAGTAAAAATACTATTAGAATAATATATTACCTAAAGAGAGCGAGCTTATTCCTTTCTAAGACAACAAATTTGACTCGGTTCAACTATTTTCACCTATTTTTTTTCATTTGAATCTTTAACTATCACTTGTTCTCTATTATAATTTTTTTATTCGACATTTAATCACCCACACACACTAAATAATGTTTCTCCAAAAGATACTATGTGGATTCACAACTTGACCAAGCTCAACTGTGAATCATTTTCCTTCATTTTAAATCTCAGTGGTTGTAATTTCTTCAAAAGTATTTTTTTGGGAGATTTGATCCCATAAAAAGTAAAGTTAATATTAGAAAAATCTACTTGCCCAAAGAAAGCAAATATACTCCTTTATGAGATAACAAATTTGACTAGGTTCAATTAAATTTTCCAATTTTATTTCAATTGAATCCCTAACGGTCACTTGTTCTCTATTAGAATTTATTTATTTGGCATTTAATTCTCACCCACACACCCCAAAATTTTTTCTCCAATAGACAATGCTACTCTATGTGGAGTCACAACTTTTCTAAACTTAAATCTTAATTATTTTCTTTCATTTTAAATCTTAATGGTGGCAATTTTTTCCAAAGTAAATTTCTTGGGGATTCAATTCCATATAGAGTAAAGATATTATTAGAAAAATATATGTGCTAAAAGAGAGCGAATCTACTCGAGAATAAATTTGACTAGATTCAACTAATTTCACCTGTTTCCTTTCATTTGAATCTCCAACGATGACTAGTCCCCTATGAGAATATTTAAATTGGCATTTAATCTTAACCCACCCACCTTTATATACACACACATGCATGTGTATGTGCATTTGTGCGCACGAATGTATGTGTATTCACATATGTGCGCACATATATTAAAAATAGTATGCCATTGAATATAGAACATTGGTCCTTATTGAGATCGTTAGTTAATTTTGTACAAATTGAATTGCACCAATTTTCTCTCACTAAAAACCTCAATGCTTATCATTTTCTCATTATTTTCAGAATAGTCCTTCTAGCCAGCATCATGTTTACTCTCTTTCATATTGATACCTTTTTAAAGGAAATTAGCATTTTCTCTCAAACCCTAAGAAAATTTCTCCTTTCTTTGAACTATGACCTAATCTAATAATACATATTGACACTGGGATGAGTTTCAACAAATTCACAACGTAGTCATTTCCCTCATTCATCAATTTTTTTTGTAATCATATTCAAAGAAAGAATATATGTCTATGACTTGACAAATACCATTTTACTTAACTTGAAAGGAAAGCCTTGGGTGAGTTTTGGTTGAACTTTCAACTTGAATGTAAACTGCTCAGACCTTGTTGCTACCTAGCATTTGAAAAAGAGAACAGAAAAAAGAAAAGAAAGGACTACATTGNACTTAACTTGAAAGGAAAGCCTTGGGTGAGTTTTGGTTGAACTTTCAACTTGAATGTAAACTGCTCAGACCTTCTTGCTACCTAGCATTTGAAAAAGAGAACAGAAAAAAGAAAAGAAAGGACTACATTGAACATAATGAAACTCAGAAGCATATATTTGTGTGTGTCTATGGCTTTAATGAAATTTGTAACTTTTTCCCAAACTTGTAGTTTGGGAAAAAACTTAATAATTTTTTCATAGGTTCAAAGGAAGTAGAATAAAATATGCTCACGTCAAGGGCATTAAGTAGAGTGCCAAGAAGCAAAAATAAATTTGTATAGAACAGTCTCCAATTTGAACTTGAATAGAAATGTCAAGACTATACACTTGAATAGATAAACAACGCGTTTTTTCTTAAGACGTGTGCCAAGATAAAACGAAGAAAAAAAGGAGATCAAACTGTTGATTTTTCATGATGGATAGTGATTACTGACAAATTAGAGTCAAAGTGCACCTTAGTATGTGTTGTTGAGATGTGGTCTCTTAAAGCTGCTTAGGTTAGGGTTCCTTAAGATTTCCAGCTGGGACTTAACAAAGTTAAAGACCTACTACCACTTAATTAGATGGTATCTGATTTGACTCATTCTTGAACACAAACTTGATGCATCATATGATATTTAGGTCATTTCTCATGCATCATTTTCTAGTGGGGCTGAGAAAGGGGGTCAGGAAAAGGTGTAGAAAATCTGAGGTCTTTCAAAGCCACATATTTTAGGCTCTGAAACTAGGATTATGTGATTGATTAATGAAATTCATATAAAATCATTGATTATTCTGTAAATTAAGATTTCAGTTTCCACCAATTCAAATTCAGTGAGCTTAGACTTATTATTGAACACAAACTTGTTACTGAAAAAGCATATAATTACCGGATGCATGTTTTTCTTTGTGTAGGTAGCCTGTTTTCCTTCAAACCCTCTTCGTTCCTAGGTGGTTGGCGCTGGTGATAGAATTTTGATTGATGATCAAACTGTTATTTGGGCCAATTAGTGCAATCGAAACAAAATTCAGTTCAGGGAGGGGAACTTAGAAATGTCCATTGCAGAAAGCTTAATTCTATTAATCGAAAGGATATATACAAAAGTGTACCACATATGCAATTGTACACAAAGAAAAAGAGAGAGGGGAAGGGATGGAAGGTCTTCTATGTGCAACTTTAATGTCTAATGATAATTTTATCCTGATTGTGTTGTACATTATTATCTATACAGTAGGTATATTTGCCAATTAGCCCTTACAATGTAAAACTAGACCATGAACAAGATCCAGTTTCAGTGATCTATACATGTATAAAGATCTGATTGTTTATGTCCCGAAAGGTGGAAAATATACAACAAATTTGCTGTAACATTTTATATCCCAAGTCGATGTATTTTTCCTATTGAAGCAAAATCCAAACAAGGATTTATAGCACCCAATCTCAGCTTGAGGGGAAAATAAAACTGCATTAGGTTGAGCCTCATTCTGCTCTATATTGTGCTTGATTTATTCTCATCATCAGAGAATTGTTTGAGCATTAAGGATTCTTTTCTGCACGAAGACTGATCAAGAACATTTTCGTGGTGATCAAATAGTGTATACTATAGCCAAGAATATTTTGGTATACTTTTTCGTGTTGCAATCTTTCTTTTTTAAAATCTCATCACAAAAGCATTGAAAGGCATTTATCGCCGGGTGAAAGTGAGATTGGATTCTTCTATGATTGATGCAGATAAATCTACTAATGAGAATCTGTAAGAAGCTCCTAACAAGTTGTCAATAATGTTTATCATTAACAGAAACTTCAGATAAAAAGTTGTGGGAATGTCATGAAATCTTCATATATATGAGATATCAATTCCATCTGTTAATTGGAATCTTGAACAGTAATTTCATTTTCCTTGGCCATTTCGCTCTTTTGCTGAGAAAATCTTTGACAGAAGATTCAGAATATGTTAGAGAAAAATAATATTCGAATACTGATTTTACTTTAGTGCTTTAAATATTGGATAATAGAGATACAGATACATCTTACTTTAAATCGAGCTCTTTTAGCATTTGCCATGAAATCTACGGATGATCTCAGCCTTTATTCTTGTCTGTGGATTCTGTATTAGGTCTCCAGAACATTGATATTCTTGGCTGAATTGATCAACAATGAAGAATCAATATAAAGTGATGCTTCCTGTACTGTCTTCAACCAATTTGTAAAACTAAATATCACAAAACCAGCCCTGAGCTGGCCTTCAACCGGTAATGATCTCCAAAATGTACTTGCTTCACCTTCTCAGATCGCCATGGAAAATCTAAAATTGAAGTTATAAGCCATGGAAAATTTTCTGGGTCGATTTTAAAATATTCAAACATGTATGCAATAATCTAAATTTCTTAGGTTTCACATTTGGTTGTTTTCATTTTCTCTTTGTTCTACCATTTTGGGTCTCTTTTTTTTTTCGTTGCTTATGTTCTTTTAAAATTGAAACTTGTCCTTCTGTGTAAAGACTCCATTTTGAAAGATTGCACCCTTGAATTTACTATATGATTTCATTCCTTAAGGTGTCTAAAAAGTCTTGATGTATTATCCTAGCAGTGAGGTCATTTTCTTTGTTTCTGTCTCATTTGTTCATCTGTGTCTTTCTAGTTAGACAATTTCAACACCCCCCCTCCCCCACAAAGAAAAAGAAACCCTAGAACAATTGAATACCTAACAATCTTGCAAAAAATGGAATGGCGAAGAAACCTCAAACACTGAATTTACTCGAAAAACCCGGTTGGTTCATTGAAACGAAAAATTGAAAACATTTTCCTCTCTCTCTTTCTAATCCTGTCCAAGGAAAAAAAAAAGGATGGGGAAAACTTTGCAAAGGAAAAGAAAACAAAGGGAAAGGAAAATGTATGAATTCAGTCTCAATCTTGTCCTTTTTTCTTCTTCTCTTCTTCTGATTGGAGAAGTTCTTCCAACACACTGTCATCCAAGTACTCAAACTCAATGACTTGCCTTTGTTGTCCACTTGATGAACCTCCCTTGTCGACACTCCCACTACGAGCAGATGGAGAAGAAGACGACGACGACGGTGAAAATGATGATGATGTGAGATAAGGAGGGTTTGGGAGTTGAGCATAGTACTCATTGGGGAAATTTAGGATAGCAAGATGACCTCTTAGGTTAAAAGCAGCCCGGTCATAAGCCCTAGCCGCCGCCTCTGCAGTATCAAACGTTCCTAGCCACAGGCGCTGCCCATGCCTAGAAGGGTCACGTATCTCCGCCGCAAATTTCCCCCACGGCCTCCTTCGGACCCCTCGGTATCGAACTTGATCTGCTCTTCCCTGCTCTTCCTTTTCTTGCATGCCCTTACCCTTTGGAGAACCTTCCATGGTTTGTTTAATCTCTGTAACGGTTCTTTTGGATTGAAATTTTGTGGCACACCTGGTTCGTTGGTGGCTCAATAGACTGCTGATCTTTTAGGACATATATATATAGGTTAGATGACGGTGGCGAAGGGTCTCCAAAAATCTATTCCATAAAACTTCTTTATAGTATTAAAATTGGATTGTTCAACCAATTCTGTTTTATTCAGAGGCCACTTTTGAACCTCTTTTCACTGCTTAGTAATGTATTTATGCAGTGTTTTTGGTTTCAAGTTATCTGCAAACCCAAGGAACTAAACAAATTGTTGAACTCCATTGGTAATAGAGAATAGTCGTAAATTCAAACGTTTTAAATTTGAATCTTGACAATTCTTTGGAATTAGGTTATGAAGAATTTATCTCTCATGAATACCCTAATCCCGGCATGAATGACTTATCTTTGACCGAACTGGAGAGGAAATTAGTTGAAGTATATGTAAGTTGATCTGAACACTCTTGACGGTTGAAATCAAAAAAAAAAAGTTGTTGCATGGAGTAACCCGTCGTGGTAGTTCGGATGTAAAAACTTAAACAATTACTATCTAGAGGCTCCAAATTTTCTGAAAGCTCAAGGTAGCATAATTTATTGCATAAAATAATTATAGTTGGAATGTAAAGTCTTACAAAATTACTAGTTCAAGTTCTCAAGTTAATTTAACTCTCTAAAAAGTCTAGTTTTATCTTATATGTATAATTGTTCAATACTATGAATCCGTAATTTATTTTATATAACATTAATTCAAAATGTGGGAAAATATTAACAAAGAAGTAACTAGTAAAAAGTTGAATTGTTCTTTACTTGTTTATGCCAAATTGATATCTTGATGGAGCACCCAATCTGATACCCATATCAATAAGATTTTATTTAGGTAGTTGGACCAACTTGGACCCCCACCCAATTTACCCAAGGAAAAGAAAGTTGGACCCCACTTTTTAAGAATTTACCAACAAGATTACATAGGCATATAGTAATTATTTTGTATTAAGAAAAGTTTATGAAGGTCAAAAAGAAATACGATGAAGTGTTGAAAAAAAAGTTTATGATATGACATATGATGCCTTCAATTTCTTCACATACATTTTACTTTGATGGGTAGATTACATCAATTTTGACAGTTTATGTACTAATTAATCGAATATGTCACTATCAATATGGCACTGAAGAAACTAGCTTGATCAAAATTATTGTATTGGGCAAAGTCTAATTCTAGTCTTATCCCTATATTTATTTTAAAATTAAGAAAGCCAAAATCACTTTTGCTAGGTTAAAGTTAAAAACTTTAGATGTAACTGTAAATAATTTAAATTTATCACCCTTTTTTTTTCTTGATTGGTACAACAAAACTTTATATTTGGCTATTAAGTAACTTATTGTTATTTTTGACTTTTAAAAAAACTTCTTATATGGAACAGGAGGGAGAAAGGATCTCAAAGCAATGCAAAAGATATCAAAATGTCTAGGGTGGTAAATGAATCAAGTTAAACTATATGTACATGATTAAAAAAAAAAAAAAGAACTATATGTTGTAAGTTGTTATTATATTATAACACCCACATATCAATACTATCACAATGTGACAATTATACTAAATATTACTTCTAAAATTTAAATTACATCTTTTAAAGGTAAAGTTATACCTGTTTAAAACCATGACCGATTATGAAACGTATTAGTTGTAATTTCACTACTAAATGATATAACATAACATTTAAAAACTGCAACTTTTATGATCAGTGTTTTAGAATCAATACTCTCTCTTGTAATTATAATTTTTACCTTAAAAAAATTAAATTTAACAATAAAAATCTATAAATTCCCATACGATTTTGACTTGGGTACCATAATCTTTCTCAATAATTACTCGAGAAACAAATGTTCTATCTATCTGGTGTTAAGAATTAGATTAATGTTACATTGATTAAATTTTGGGACTAAATTTAGAGTTCAAATGACATGACAGTTGATTTGAGCTTCTTTATTTAGTGTCATGTCATTTGAGTTTCAATAAAAACTTTAAATAATATGCTGTCANTCTTGGGATTAAATTTAGAGTTCAAATGATATGACAGTTGATTTGAGCTTCTTTATTTAGTGTCATGTCATTTGAGTTTCAATAAAAGCTTTAAATAATATGTTGTCATGTCATTTAAACTCTAAATTTGATCGTAAAATTTGATTAGTATAACATTATTCTATGAATTGTAACAATAAAGTTGGGCCACACGTTGTAATTTAATAATGAACCATTAAATGATGTGGACCAAACATTATAATTTAATAATAAACCATTCAAAAGAAAGAGGTGGCTAACCAGTTTTAAGGCAATAGATGGGGGTACAGTACAAAGTAGTGGTTCAATTCATTAAACCAGGTGAACACAATAGGGTATGGTCAGAGGGTATGGTATTGGACCACCGCGTGACCACAGCGCTTTGACCTGACCAAAAGCCATCGCGGACGTCTGTACATAGATCATTTTCCAAACAATACAACTTGGATTAGGGATCTAACTCGGGCGAATTGGATAGTCTATGTTAGTCTAACTCTAGGTATATAATTTTCAATTCTAACCTTAAGCTTAATCCTATCTCGGATTGAGGGACTCTACCCGAGCACTGTCTGAGTTTAATTCAGATGAGTTCGGGTTGAATTTGAATTAATGATTTCGAGCTACTTTACGAGTGTAATTCGGGTTGAAGTCAAAGTAGACTTGTTGTTCTAAACCTGATACATATATTACATAATATTTACATAAATTAACAACTAACAATTTTAATCAAGTTTTTAACATAAAAATCATAATATTAAGAACTCAATTTTTGAGATAATGCAACCACAACCAAACAGAACACAAATAAATACAACCAAAATCCTTGTGTAAACATAGAGTTCACTACTTAAATAATGAGTGAGGGAGGTGCACAACGAAAACTTTAGAACATATTAACCTTAGACTTAAAAATGTATTTATATGGTTTTGAATATTCGGGTTAAACCAGAATATTAAAATCGGGTTCAATCTGAACCCGATTTTAATATTCAGGTTCAACCCTAGAACCCTACGGGTCAACTCTATGCCCGCCCAAATTGAATTCAGGTTGAGATTTTTTGATCCAAGCTCAACTCAAGTATTAAAAATTCTAACACAAACCCTAATTTTTTCGAGTTGGACTCTAGTTGAAATCAGGTTAGCCCTCCCAAATTGCACCCCTAACTTGGATCAATTTACGCACCGAAAAGGACCATGAGTACGATATAGCCTAAAAAAAACTCTCGTATTATGCTTCTAAAATTTGCTATTTTAAAGAGTATTTTTTATTATTTTTGTGGTTGATTTATCATTTTTATGGGTATTTTTATAATTATTGTGAGTATTTTTATTAGATTCGTGACAAAAATTTTTACCACTATTATTAAATTCAAAAAAATTTATCACTTTTGTGGGTGATTTATCACATCTGTGGATATTTTTATTACATTTATGAATATTTTTATCACTGTTTTGATAATTTTTTTTTATCATTTTTTGGATACTACAACAATGGTAAATTACCCACAAATGTGATAAATTTTAATATAGTACCAAAATTTTAAATTTGGGCACCACAGTCAAGGTCCTACCGAAAAAGGAAAAAAAAAAAACTTGGATCAATAAGAATTGATGTGTGAACCCTTTGCGTAATTTAGTGATTGGTAATTTTGTTAAGGTCATGTTATGAAATATTTATTTTTTATGAGTTGCCTAATTTTAGTATATATGATATGTATTTGATCAGACTTAAGAGACGATTAATGAGGAGAGTGTAAAGTGACCTAAACACTCCTAACCGCAATACCAAAAAAAAGAAAAAAAGAATTGGTGAGCGTAAGAGTAATACATCCTATGTTTCGTAAGGTTTTGGCTTTTTAAAAAAATGAGCGCTTCACTAAATTCAAAATTTCACTTTTTGGAATGATATTTCCCCTTGAATAATTTTTTAAAAATTTGCTTCCAAAAAAAGTGAGAAATGTTGATTGTTCTAGAAATTATTATTTTTTTGTTGTTCAAATTAGATGTGATTTTTTTTTATATTTTTTTAGAACAATGTTATAGGGACTTTATTTGAAGACCTAATGATGTGGCTTTAATGCAACCATTAGATTAGTTGTGAGTTTCAATGTTAAACGGAGCTCACAACCAATTCAATAATTATATTGAATTAGGTCCATAGATTAGATTTCTAAATTAGCTCCAAATAGTATTTTTTATTTTTTTTATAAATAAAAATGTCAAAGGGAGGTCTGAAATTATGGCAGCTGAAGTACTCAAAGACTCGAGAGTTGAAGCGGTGATCAATGTTGATGGCAAGACTGAAAATTTAAAATATGGTCTATTTCTAGCATTCGGCAGCCACAAGTGCTCGTGTAAGAACAACTCTCTCTCTCTCTCTCTCTCTCTCTCTCTCTCTCTCTCTCTCTCTCTCTATATATATATATATATATATAGTAGTTGTCACTATGAATGTATCGCGGTGTTACAATAATTGTGTGATTATGACTGTGTTACCGTCTTTGTGTCGTGTTATTGTTACTGTAGTTGTGCATCATTTTTATCTTTTGTATGTATTGTTATTGTACATAAACAGGGAAAGATAAATAGGAAGACTCAGTTATGAGTAATGTTATATGAACTTAAAAATTAGACTTTATAAATAGATTTAATAATCAAAATCATTAAATTGGTAGTGAGTCACAATAAATACTGAGATCTACAGTGAAATCAATGATTGTAATTATCAAGTCTACTTTTTAAATCTAATTTTTAAGTTCATTTATGCTCTGTTTGATAGGAACGATCAAAAATAGAAAAGATGAAAAGTAAAAAGAATACTTTTTTTATCTTTCAAGGATAAAAAGTAGGAATGATACGTTTTAATTCCTTTGTATTTAGTTGAATAGATGGAAAAAAAAATAACCAATTCATTTTATAATTTTTTTTGTCTAATATTAGGGTTGATAATCTAGTCGTGTCGTGTCAGATTCGTGTTGAGTCATAAAACTATGAGTCTTTTTATATTTTTTGTTAGCATGTCAAATCATTTTCAAGTTTGTGTCGAGTTATCATCAACTTCGTGTTGAGTACGAGCCGTGTTATCGTATTTAGTCGAAAATTTTTACCCCTAATTAAGATGAATTTTTTTTAAAATTTTTTTAAATATATATATATATATATATTATCATTGTATTTTTATATGAAATTAATATATACATTATATATAGACAACTAAGATACATCTCAATACAAATAATTAACTTTTTATCTGATTTTGGAGGGATTGATTTTGGTGAGTTGGAAGGAAAGTTAATCCATCAACTTTTCCATCCTTCCTATTTTTCTTCCTTACTAAACATGATATTTTATTTATCCATTTAACTTTTTATCCTTATAATTTTTCATCTTTTCATTTTTCTATCATACCAAACGGAGCACTAGAATTACTCCTCAGTTATACTTGTTTCAATTTTCATTTTTCACTACGTAATTGAGATAATGGGATGTGAGTACTTTTTTCAAAAATTATTTGGCTTTAAGTATCACCTCCAAACTTATACTCCTTTAAGTCATATTTTTCATCAAATAGTTGTCAATAAGTTTACATTTTAAAACATTTTCAAATTCTTTCTAAAATGTATTTCATAATTACTCCTATCATAAATAATACATACCTACTTGAATGTAAAACTTTTAAAATTAGAATGTGAGACTTTCAAAATTCGTTTTGATATTTGTGTATCATTTGAATTTTGAAATTATATATATACACACACACACACGTAATACAGTGACATACTCAACAAAAAAATATTAACATCAAACAGTTACATGCTCAACAAAAAAATTTGTGTTATTGTTTGATATTATAATTTTTTTGTTGAGTGTGTTACTGTTTGATGTTACTCTCTCTCTCTCTNCGTAATATAGTGACATGAAACAGTGACATGCTCAACAAAAAAATATTAACATCAAACAGTTACATGCTCAACAAAAAAATTTGTGTTATTGTTTGATATTATAATTTTTTTGTTGAGTGTGTTACTGTTTGATGTTACTCTCTCTCTCTCTATATATATATATATATATATATATATATAATTTCANTGAAATTATATATATACACACACACACACGTAATACAGTGACATACTCAACAAAAAAATATTAACATCAAACAGTTACATGCTCAACAAAAAAATTTGTGTTATTGTTTGATATTATAATTTTTTTGTTGAGTGTGTTACTGTTTGATGTTACTCTCTCTCTCTCTATATATATATATATATATATATATATATAATTTCAAAATTCAAATAATACACAAATATCAAAAGGAATCTTGAAAGTCTCACATTTAATTAGGTATGCCCTATTTATGGTAGGAAGAAAATTTTTTTTATGNGCACAGAAAATCCACATTGTGTTTGTATTCAGCCAAAGAAAAGAAAGGGACTTTACAAACAAGTGAGAATCGTCTTGTAGAGTTCGATTTATATAGACATCACGCTGAAGGTTCTTGCAATGGACTGTTTTACGTAGCAGGATATTGCAGTGACGGGTCTATTGATATTATTGTGTCAAATCCTCTTAAAAGAGAGGTTCAAAGGCTTCCACCGGCACCGGTGAAATCTCAGCACCCCGGTGTGCCATTTTCGAATGGATATGGAATGGGTTTTGATGTTTCAACCAATACCTTCAAGTTGGTTTGTGTTTTCTTTCTGGAAAGCAACTTTGAACCATCAACTTATAGATTTGGCACACTAGTGCACACATTGGGAACAAGCTCATGGAGAGAAATATCTCAAGTTACCCCTTATCCTCTATCTGATAAGCCTGTATTTGTGCATGGAGCTTTGCACTGGATTATTCACCCTTACTTACTCTACGACACTCCAGAGGCCATCATCGTTTCTTTTGAACTTGGGAAAGAGGAATTTAGCCTGATTTCCCACCCCAATTATTATTCAAATTTTTTAAATATTTTTCAGTTGGTTGATTTGAATTGCAATTTGGGTGTGGCTGATCTCTCGTGTAACTCAAAAATTGAGATATGGGTGATGAAGGATTACGAGAGAAAGCAGTGGGTCAAAGAATCTAGTATCGAGATATGTGGTCCGGCGAGGATACTTGACAATAGACACATTGAAGTTATAGGTCTCTGGAAGCATGGTGACATATTGATGAGATTTTCCTGTCAAGGGTTTTTCATCTACAATCAGAATACTGGCCTAAGGCCAACCAACAGCTCGATTGCTCTTCTATTTCAATCAGGTATTTCTAGTCACAGGGGGAGCTTGATCTCGGTGTCCAAGTTTATGACAGTTTAAAGTGTTTTTATGAAATTCCGACATAGATTTCAGAAATTTTGAGTTATTAGTAGTAGAAATAAAATTGATATTAGACTACATCCCTGTTCAATCCTTCTTTTATTAATAGTATCCTAGCTGAATTAATTCGTCTCCTTTTGTCCTCTTTCAAGTTGCTTCACAATTGTTAATTCATTTTTTGGACTTGAGTTTGTGTGAGAATTAGGTCCCTAGGTTTCTAAATTAGGTCTAAATAGTATTTTTTATTTTTTTATAAATAAAAATGTCAAAGGGAGGTCTGAAATTATGGCAGCTGAAGTACTCAAAGAATCAAGAGTGGTCTCCTTAGAAGTTGAAGCGGTGATTCAATGTTGATGGCAAGATTGAAAATTTAAAATATGGCCTATTTCTAGCATTCGGCAGCCACAAATGCTCTTGTGTAAGAACATCTCTCTCTCTCTCTCTCTCTCTCTCTCTCTCTCTCACTCTCTCTCTCTCTATATATATATATATATATATATATATATAATTTCAAAATTCAAATAATACACAAATATCAAAAGGAATCTTGAAAGTCTCACATTTAATTAGGTATGCCCTATTTATGGTAGGAAGAAAATTTTTTTTATGAATTTTTATTAGCATATGTACTTCTATTCCAATTATTTTAAAAAGTGTACTTTTATTCTATTAAGTTTTTTAAGAGGTACCAGCCTCCCTCGGCCCATAGTAATTTACTTAGGAGTAGCCTTGCAGCCCATTGGACAATTGGCTGACTTGGCCTACTTTTTGTTGGACTGGATATGGGCATATCCAGTGGCATTTAGGCTGGTTCAATCCAAGCCCAAAAGATCTGACATTTCGGTTGGTCCATGGTTCACCCCTTTGATCCATCTATTTGTTACACAACAGCCCATGAAATGGGATCCGACTATCCAAATTCAAATGTAATTCTTCTCCAAAATTTATATAATTATTTATTTCAATTTATACGAGTATATTTTAATCTTGAATTCTAGTTTAATATCCGATTCATGACTCTGTAAATTGATCAAATTAGATATTTAACTTTTAAACTATTTTGGATTTTTAAATAATCTTTTAACTAAATTTATTTTGGATTTTTAAACAATCACATAGTAATCTTTTTTTCCTAGTTTGTCTTTTACTTCAATTTTTACTATTTTTAACCAACGTAAAGGCATCGTATTCCTAAGCGCTAGCCACATTTGTCCCTTTAGGGGTATGTTCTAACTCAGCACAAGTTAGGTGACCAATTGCTGAGCTCAAGGGCATTGCGGAGACAAGCTTGGACACCCTACAATTAAAAAAGAAAAATAAGAATTTACCAAAGAGTATATTAATCTTTAACCAATCAAACACCAAACTAAAAATAGTTTAACAACAAATGATTCAAGATTATTGATCAAGCAATATAAATTGAAATTATATATGTGAATGCAGTGCAATCCAATTCACCAAAGATACAAGTAAAATATATAATTTTAAATATACCAACTATATATATATGTATCATATTCGCTATTTTCCTATCAAACAACCAATCACATATACAGATGTTATCTAAAAAATTATTTTTCGAAAATGTTATTTAATTTTTGAAACAAATCCCTTAATGGACTTCTCTCTCTCTCTGTTAACTCGATTCCCACTGTGTGGACATGCTGCTGCAAATAACGTTTTCCAGTGAAAATCAACCCTATTCTTGTGTGCCAAGTTTTTCAAATAGATAAAATGTCCAAGTTTTTATGGACTGGACACCTTTCAAGGGTTCTTCTAATATTTTTGCACGGTGGTGCAATGAATTCGGGTTCAATACAAATTTAACCCAAACTCAACTTGGTATGACGCAACTTGAGTTTAATCCTCCCTTAAAAATTTAAACTTGCACAATATTTGGACCGAAGAATTTGGGTTTAAATTGGGTCCTAGTACTTAGTTTCATAGGTCGGTTTGAACTTAGGATAACAATTCAATCTACTAACCCTTTTGAGTTGCACCCTTAGGTAGGGTTTGAATCATTGAAATTAGAGCAAAATTTAATCCTCCACCGTAAAGAGTTCGAAGTGATTAAAGTTTAGAAAACTGTACATGAAGAGAATTTGTCTTTTGATAATAATACAAAACCATATTGAACAAGGAAAGTAATTACCAAAAAGATCATACTTACGTAAAGTATTTAGGTCTTGGAAACCACCGAGGAATATAAAAGTTGATCTCATCGTCCCTTTTCTTGTGACAATGTCTAAATACTATGAAACCAACAAAGCACAAGCCGTCCGTATCGGTAATGGGCTCTCTTCTCTTCCAAAAGAACAATTACCAGACATCATAAATAGCATGGATGAACACCCTCTAGATATCATCTTCGATATTCTTTCAAGATTACCGGTAACCTCGCTATTGCGATTCAGGTGTGTATCTAAACCATGGTGCAATATCATTGATCAGCCACGCTTTGCTCGAATGCAAATAACACGATCTGCTGAAGAACCTACATTAATATTTGTTTCCAAACCAACGGACAGAAAATCCACATTGTGTTTGTATTCAGTCAAAGAAAAGAAAGGGACTTTACAAACAAGTGAGAATCGTCTTGTAGAGTTCGATTTATATAGACATCACGCTGAGGGTTCTTGCAATGGACTGTTTTACGTAGCAGGATATTGCAGTGACGGGTCTATTGATATTATTGTGTCAAATCCTCTTAAAAGAGAGGTTCAAAGGCTTCCAC